CTTATCCCCCCTCTTCCCTTCCCTCTCCCCCTCCCTCTCCCCCCTCTTCCCAGGTCTCCCTGGAGTGGCGGTCCCTGAGTTTGACCGTCGTGTCCCCTTCCTCCCCCGGGGGGTTGACCCCTGTGTTGCGGGATGTGGGGGGCAGGGCGCCTGCGGGGGCGGTGACTGCGCTGCTGGGCCCGTCGGGGGCGGGTGAGGGGGGGGCGGGTGACTTGGGGGGGGGGCGGCAGAAGGGGCCGGGTGAGGGGGGTTGAAGGGGGGGGTGAGGGGGGGATGACTGGGGGTTGAGGGGAGTGGGAGGGAAGGGCGGGAATGAGAGGGAACGAGGGGGAAGCCGGTTTGGTCGAGTATCGACAGCCGCACTCCCCCCGGCGACATCTAGGATTCCAATCGCTCGCCTTTCTGCGTCTCCCCCCGAAACCTGTTGCATGTTATCCCATCAAACCCGCCTTCGCAGGCAAGTCCACACTACTGGATCTTCTGGCTGTACGGGGAGCAGTGGCCGTACCCGAGGGACAACAACCACCTCAACCGCCACAACCGCCGCAACCACTGGCGCACTCCGGGGCCCTCCAACCCGGCTGCTCCGGTCAAGTGCTGGTCAACGGAGCCCCACGGGACAATAAGGCCTTCATGGCCATGTCGTCGTACGTACCGCAGGTAGACAACTAATTGTACGGCAAGGGTGGGGAAGACCAAGAATTCCGTGCTGCTCTCAGGTGTATTATCATCCGGCATGGTCAGAATCTCGTACGCATGGTCCTGTAAAAGGTACCCTCTACCTCCCCTCTCCCCCCCTTCCCCCACACGCACATACACACACACGCTCCCCCCTCTCCCCCCCCCGAACCCCCCCCGCCCCCTTCAGTTCGACGCCTTCCTTCCCCAGCTGACGGTTCGCGAGGCGCTGCTGTTCACGGGTCGCCTGGTGCTGCCGCCTCCTCAGTGCCAGCCGCGGGCTGTAGCGGACCGCTCCGTGGCGGTTGCTACAGCCCTGGGTTTGGCACCCAGCATGGACAGCCTCGTTGGGGGGGTGCTGCCCGGGGGGCTGCTGCTCAGGGGCCTCTCGGGGGGCGAGCGGAAGAGACTCAGTATTGGGCAGGGTAAGATGGGTCCATAAGTTGGGTCCTACAGCAACATTATAATAATAATATTACAATATTAATTATAATTTAATATTATAAGATTCTGATATAATTATATAATAAATAATATTAATATATATATTAGTTATAATATTATATAATAATATAATTAATTAACTTGTTATATTGTCAATAACAGTTAATAATATTACAATTAATAATATAATAATAAACATAATTATTTATTATTATTATTATTGGTCACTTCGGCAGTTGGCAGCCCTCGGTCGATTTCCCTCCTCGACTTCGCTACATACGATTTCCTGCCACTCCCCCAGATTCCCAAACCTCCGAAACCAGGTCTCCCTGACACCCCCCCACCTGCATGCGTCCCCCTCTGCCTTCCCCCCGCCCCCTCCAGGCCTCATGTCCCGTCCCCGTGTTTTGCTTCTTGACGAGCCTACCAGCGGCCTGGACTCGTTCGCAGCCACCGTGGTGATGGGGCACGTGGCGGAGCTGGCCCGGGGCCGGGGCGGCAGGGGGGGAGTGACGGTCATCGCCTCGCTGCATCAACCCAGAGCGGCGATATGGGACATGGTCAACCAGGTGAAGGGAAAGGGGTGGGTGTGGGATGGGTGTGTAGGGGGGAGCCATTTCGAAGTAGGGTTTTGGTGGTAAGGGGTGTGGTCCCTCCTCCCTTCCGCTCGCCTCAATCCTATTCCTCCCCCACCAACCCACGACGTCGGCGCCCCACTCACCCCCGCCAGGTTGTCGTACTCGGTCGTGGGCGGCTGCTGTACTGCGGTCCCCCCAGCGAGCTCCTCCCCTGGTTCTCAGGCCGCCTGGGCTACTGCTACCGACCGGAGCATCACGGCCTCGTGTCGGACTGGGTCATGGATCTGGTAGCGATGACCGTAAGTGACCCACGGGTCACGGACGCCGTCGCGGCGGCGGCGGTGCCTGCGGCAGAGGCGAAGGCGGCAGTTGCAGCAGGCGCGTCGTGGCAAGCCATGAAGACGGACGTGGATGACACCGGAGCGGCGACGGTGGCGACGGCGGCGACGACAGCGAAGAGCCAAGATCTTGACGACAGCGGCGGCGGCGGCGGCGGTGGCGGAAGTGGTACGGAGTCGAGTTGGGAGGCGCCGTCAGGGCCAGAGGTCATGGCGACGCTGGCGGAGCTGAACGCTGCCGCTGACGCGTTTGCCAATGCCGTACTGGCAGTGCCGCCGGCCCCGGGTGTCAGCGCCGGCGTGCCAGACTACGCAAATGTGGTGGCGGCGGCGGCG